GGTCGAGGAACTTTGCAGCCGTGTTTCGGGTGGCAGGAATTGATTTGAACCCGAGATCTGTACAGTTTTGACAGACCGAGGGCGACTGAAGAAATATGCCTGGGTTTGGTGCGTGGAAGAGAATGTGCAAACCGTATTTGTAACTCACCACCGTTAAATTGTGTTGTCCAAAAGAATAACTACGTTGTAGACACGAGCAAGAGTCCAACATTGACACCGTTACAAACACTACAGATAAGTGCGTGCCCATCCCCACTACAACATGTTACAATGCACTTTGCTGCACAATAAAAAAACATTTTTTGGCATCGATGATTGCACTGCAAAAGCCGGCCGTCACAGGAACATACGCGACCGTGAACACTGCTAATATACAGCAGAACTAAAAAAGAAAATCAACGAATCCCTGTTATTAATGGATTGCCTGCGATGATGTACTTGCTCTACTCTCGCCGTGATCCGTGGGACCGCCCGTGAAAATCGACATCCGGATCTCTTCCGGCAATCAGCTAATGTATCCTATAATGTGCGGGACACAACGTCGGAGAAGATTGTGGGACTGTTGCAGTGCGCAGCAGATTACAGGATCTGTGCGATATGTTCTCGCCCGTATCACCGTGAATTATTGGAGTTGCGCTGTAGAGTAATGCCGTGTAGAAGCTTGGACATGCGGAATATATGTACAATGCATATTTATCTTTCAATTCCAGTGCAGTCACTAATGAATAGTCGTTGAACTGAAGTGTTGGGTACGGTATTGTATTGTCATCGGTTTGTCCCTTCTGGTTTACAAGAAAACAGGACATATCATGGGAAGAAGTATGTTCTTACAATAACAGATGAGTTGAGAATTACATGTAAATGCATTGTCTTGATTAGCGTACCAACTTAGGCAACTGATAACAATTGAGGCACTTTAATTTCCCAGGAAGACTTGGATTTCCCAAAGAAACCGGCCCGAAAAAGGGTATGATCCTGGAAAATCCAGGGCAGCTGTTCAAGCCTGGAATTACATAACGTAAAGCTGGATATCCTGCTCGGGAGCACATAACGTCAACCTGGTCCCGAGGCCATCAGATAAATGGAATCATCTGTAAATGGGCACTTGTCTAGTGATTTAACTATTGCTTTTCATTGTGTTTGGTCAAATGCTTAGAGAATGATTGCACTTCTTGATCAAATGTTCTTCAGCTTCATTATTTATTTAATGTTAATTGCTTACCACTATTGCCGTCTTGTAGGTCAAACATTGCTGTTTTAATCATGGTTTACATAAATTTCAAATGGTTACTCATCCATACGAGAAGTGAGCTGGACCTAGAGGCCAACATTGGTTTCCTACAACAGTAATGCTAAATGTACCTATTTTAAAACTAAAGCTTGACATGTTTCATTGTCCATAATAAACTGTAGAAACAACAATGTAACTCAATGTATTTTGTTTCCCCCCGAGAAGATGTAGCATCTATGTATAGAAATGTTGTCAGAAGGTCTGGGTAGTGATAGTGGTAGTTTGGCTTTCTGCACTCCCCCCCCCCCCACATGGCTCCAAGTAGACGTCACCTCACCCGTGCGTGGTAGTGATGCTGCTGCTGTTCCTTGTGAGGGTGTATTCGTATCCCTGTGTCTGTGTCTTTGAGTGTGTGTCTCCGTGTATGTGTGTGTTTTCAGGCTGCCCGATACGGCTGCCCTACATGACACAATTACAACTGTCTGGACCATAGGACAGGCACCACACTGACTGCAGCAACAACTACCATGACATCTTCCTTTCCAACGTGCCAGAAAATGTCCTCCCAAAAATTATTCAACATCGCCTTGAGGAAAGGCTTGTAGAGCCCCAATCTAGTTTCTGCACAGACGCTATATTATCTGTCTAGTACATCAGAGGTGTTAGGGGATTTCAGAAGGACCTACATATATGCTTTAGGCCTATGATGGCATCAATAGGCCAGGATTCTGGGTTATTTGTATTTCCGGGGTCCCTGACCGTCTGATGGTGGGCAGGTCTGGGTAAAGTTACGTGGCCAAGAAGTCGAAGCCATTCCCTGTTCACCTTGGTGTCCAACAGGGATGTCCTCTGGCTCCTACATTACTTAACATATTTTTGACGACATAGTTTGATAAGCTTTCCACGGTTGTAGCAGATAAATTTCCGTCTGTTGCAGATATAATGAGAGGCTGATCGATGCCTGGGTACGATCAAGGGAGACTCCCTATTGGTCAACAATGCATGATGATGATCTGATCATTTCTGCTGAGGCGTTGGAAACGGTGCTACTGAACCTAGAACATGCCCCATAAGAGATGGGGCCTTACTTACCATTAGCCTCAATAAAACAAAGCACATGCTTGGATGTTTTATGTCATAAAATACTCTACCTCCTCAACCCCTCATTGAGTGATGGGACATTTGTGGAGAGAGGAGGAGTTCCCATATCAAGACAGTGTGGCTATAACCAGTTCCGGTTTTACAGCAGAGGTTTCACTCCAAATCAGTCGAGCGGCATCATTATCTTTTCATCGGCTGCACAACACTGTGTGGAAACAACCTAGCTTGTTGCATCCATATTGGCTACGTACGGTGCGAAAGAAGTTCAACATACATATGAAGCTCTGGGTCCGCTCAGCCACAGTTATGCTCTCCCTTCTCTATGCTTTAAAAACGCGAGGCCCTTTAAAGGAACATCCACACCAGTTTGAAAAAATTCAGGCGAGGCTTATCTACCCCCCCATCCTGGTTTTAACCAGGCAGGATTTTATGAGCTCATAGATCCTTGAAAAGATCTGGACACAGTCCCATCAGTGAACTCCCCCAACAGGCGAGACTGTTGGCCGTGCCGTGTAGCACCCATTCCCAGCCACAGCATGCCCAAGTTAGCTTCTGTTTAGCTGAATAGGGGGGCTAAACGAGCATGGCACGAGTGAGAATGTCAATTAGGGCCTCTGAAGTGGAAACGGCTCGTGAACGATGCTCGAAATTGCACTGTGTATGTAAATACCCAGGTTGGTGCCTTGGCTGTGAGTTTGAGGGTTTCTTTGTGAGCGAGAGGCGCATTTGCCACCAAAGCGCGTAGGCACGTCTTTGTGTACATTACGGAGTAAACCCTTCGCTTTGCGTCGCCCAGCACACAGCAAGGTGTTATCATCCAGGTGAAAAAATTTGATACCCCGATCCCACGCATGGCTACATTGAATGACCATTCAAACTCGTAGAAGTGCTGCCTAGTTCATCATCCGCTCATCGTGACTCGGCGCAGGTGGAACGCGATCCCAAATCCCCACACTCATGCTCGTGCCAACAAGCGCATTGTGTGACACTGATCCAGTTTCAGCCCAAGTTTTATTTCAAAATACCACGTGTTGCTTTCACATTCGCACGCTATGAATTGTAAGGAAATAAACATTCTTGATCGGTGCTTCTGAAAATATGGCATTGTAAAAAATATAAAACCTTTTGGTGATAAAAAGTGTACTTTTTAAAATTAAAAGTCAAGAATAAGAATTATATTCATCATGGTGCTCTGGCGGTGTAATTTTTATTGAGGTCAAGGAAGCGAAGGGGTGATGGGTGAAGGCAAGAAATGTGGAGAGGTCATACTCAGGGGTGGCCCGAGACAAGCTGCCAGCCCCATGCAATCGGCGCCCTGACCCCCAAGGGCAGACTGAGGCTGAGGTTTTTGGTAAACTGGGAAACATTTTGCCCCTATTATTCGTTTAATGTTTTTAAGCGTATTTTTTTGTTAAACAGAGGTATAATTATTCGGTTTGTCCGTCCGTCCAAAAAATGTTTTTGAGATCAGATAAAACAGACACATTTTCAGAATAGATTTGTACACGACAGCTAGACGATACAGTACACGAAGCCGGAACAGTACACGAGGGGGTGGGTGACCGCCTTCGTCTCCCCAGTGGCGATGTTTACACACCGCACCAAGTACTCATTTGAGGCTGAGTCAACCGAGGGGAGGCCCAGGACCGGTTCGGATAACCGTCGCCGGTGTTGGCCGTGAGCGGGAATCGAACCGGGGTTGCTGGGTTCGTAGCGCAGCGCGCTAACCGCTACACCACCGCTCCCCGCCCACACACTCGTTTGACCGATAACTTTTCATAACAAACGTTAAGGTTTGTCATTATTGTCTAGCCTGTGTTGTAATAATCACCATGAGCATAATCCAGCATTGACCCATCTGCTGTTGACCAAGGGAGTTGACATGACTCGAACTACAGGTGACCCGACACTGGATTATAATGTAGATGAATATTACAACAGGTTTAAAGCTACAGTATCCTACTTAAATTCCCGTGGACGCCCATGATCTTCGGTATGCAAGGGGTCGGGAAATTATAGTTGTGACTGTCTGATTGTCTTTCTGTTTGTATCTGTCTGACTCGCCCTGTTTGTGTGTCTTGAGGCTGCATTTGTATGTGATCGGATATCTCCATTATTTAATAAATAAACAAGTTATCAACATTTAGGGGCCGGGACGTGTCGTCCACACACACTCACTATTTTAACGTACGCTACTAACATTACTGTACTGAATTACAGACCGCCTGCCCAAGTGCTCAGTGACATGCCCCTGACCACCTACCCAACCATCCACCAGCCCGACCACACATTTCCACCCGCTCACGCACCCTCCCATCCACCTACCCAATTGTTGATATTAATGTTAAGGATTGCCATTATTGTATAACCTGTGTTGTAATAATCATCTTAAGTATAATCCAGTGTGAAAACACATTGTTGACCACAGAGCATGACTCAAACTACAGGTGACCTGACATTGGATTATATTGTAGATAAATATTACAGCAGGTTTAAAGCTACCATGAGGACAGCGTTGGAGTGAAAACAGCCAAGCCCAGGTCGCGTCCTTTAAGCTGTGTGGGAGGAAGCAAAACGCTTAACAAAGGAATTAGCATAAAAATGAGCACGATGTACGTAGGAGGTACATGGGCCATGATGGACCAGTAGCGGGTGGGGACCATGACGGACCAGCAGCGGGGGGGGGGGAGTAGAGTGAGTGGAGTGGAGTGAGTGGAGTGAGTGGAGTGAGTGAATGTAGTGAGTATCCTACTTAAATTCCTGTGGACGCCCATGATATTCGGTATATTATAAACATAGTATCCATGTTTATACTGTGAAATTCCTTTAATACCTGAATATTTTTCACCTTTGTTGACGTGATTAATTTTTAGCAGGAAAAAATTAGGTAAACTACGCCGCGATTTGCGGTGTTTCTTTTTGCAGTAAATACAATACTTTACGTCAATACATTCTTAGAAATGTTGAGAAATGAATTAACGTTCATATTCCCTCTGTACGTGCATGGGCATTGAAATAATGATGTCTTCGTTATCTTATTTGTATTTTTTTATTAATATTTTTTTCCTCGAATTCGTGTAACTTGGCGCACTAGGCGGCCTCGCCTGCATGGAGGGGCTGCCCCTGGTCACTCGGAAATGGCAAAGTAAGTGGGGAAATTACATTTTTGGGTGGGACTTTACTGTAAAATTACATGGCCAGGGTTTAACGTTAAAGTAAAAAACATGGAATGTTGCACGCGAAATAAAAGGAAATATTACTTTGGAACAAGGAAAATGCTGATACTCCGAATAATAAGCCATTCTGTTTGGTTCATAATCACATTTATACGAATACAGTCAATTTTAAATGGTATAGTCCCATTTAAAGTTTGTGCTCTGAATTCCCCATGTACAAAATGTCCCAACATCTTAAAAGATGAGCATGATTGCTCTTTGGTATGACTGGCAATTTCCAAATAGCCGGCTTTAAGACCGTCATTTTTTCTTTCAACGGAGCTCGTTAGAACTTCAATTGCATCCAGTTTCTGAGGCTCCACGAATTTCAACATAAAGTAATCTCCTGCAACTGGAGTCTTTCCCCAGAAGTAGCCACTTTCAGTGCTGTATGCTTTCTCCGGCCGGTAGTCTTCGAACACCTTGATGCTTGTGTGAAAGGTGGCGGCAGGGTTGTCGGCCACATTTGCGGTACGCTCCTGAAAATCGCCGTCCTTCAATTCATTCCGATTGCCTCTGAAGGATGAGTAGAGGCCCATGTGCTGAAATAACGCCGGCTTGAAATTTATGGGATTGTTTTGTGTTAGAATAACACGGAAGTGTGTCAGAAGCCAATCGCATGGCATCTCCTGGTAGAACAAGAGAAGAAATTGAGCAAGGGTGGGGAGGTCATTACCATGGTAGAGCTTGCCAATGTAGCCCAGTCGGGAGAATTCTAAATTCACCCAGTATGTATTTTGTCGTGAAACAATGGCCTTTTGGATTGTGGTAAAAAAATTATTTGCACATTTCAGATCATCTTCCAGCATGATGTAGTAGTCAGCAAGGCTGGCACAGAAGCTAAGTAAGAAGGAGTAGTCGGCGTTCTGCTTGGAGCGGAAGCGCACTCGATCCGGAGGGTCATTGTAGTTGGCCTTGAGGCCCTCAAGGGAGGGGTAGATCTCCTCTGGTGCGTGGATCAATAGAAGTCGCTTGGCTACCACATGGCTGGGGAACATTTTCGTAATTAGACGTGCCGTCATCTCGCACCACGCCATGTCAAAGTCGCACAAGTGCACCACTACTACCATCTGCTGAAGTTCCGTTGAGCTTGACTGCTCAAATATGGACCTCAGGGTGTCTATCAAGTATGGCTCATGTTTCCGCTTTACAGAACAAAGGCCAATCGCAAGGAACTCTGAAAGACACAAAAAAAGCATACAGTCACATTGGGCAATACAATCGTTTTGTTGAAAATCCAGAACTTAACAGATGTTTGCCAAACAAGCGGATCTAAACTAATCTTAAAATTAGTACACATTTTATTTATTTTACCACGAATGCCCACTGAGTTATATGGCTCTTTTTCAGAATTGACCTGGCTATAAATGATAGCTCAATAAAGTGGCTTATCATGTGGAAATGTATGGCAGCCATATACTATAAAGTCATGTTTCTAAATGTGGAGGGAAGAACCGGAGGTCACAGGAGAAAAAGCTATGCGACCACAGGGAGAATATGCAAACTCTGGTCAGTGCCATGTTTATGGATTGAAAAATAGAGTGAAAAATTAGGCAAAACATGATAAATTCTCTGAAAAGAATCACGATCTCCATTGGGACAATTGAATCACCATGGAATTAATCGCTATACACAAATGCTTAATCGTGATTGAAGGTGTAATTACTTCATTCACGAATTATTTATTTCATTTCGGAAGAAAATGGAATTGACAGTGGTTGCAGGTATCGTGAGTATATTTACAAATCAGTTATTATTGCTGTATATTAATGTGTTTGCATGTGATGCATAACATTGAGTGTACACATTAGTATTATTTAGTTATTGAAATGTTTACAATTTCTCAGGACCGGATTAAAAAATCGATCCAATTCAGATCCATATTATCACAGATCAAATCAGATCAGTTGACCATCACATCCGTAACTCTCTCCTCTACACCTTCCCCAAATCCCTCATCTTCAAATTACAGTTGCTCCAAAATACTGCTACCAGTCTCCGCACCCCTAAATGAGGGCACATCACCCCAATACTGCCGTCCCTCCACCGTCTTTAAATCCAATCCTGGATCAATAAAAAAAACACACATTCACCGTCTTCTAAATTCGCCATGGACACATCCCTGCTTACCTCTCCCTCTCATCACACACCTAGCTCTACTTTCAGCCACACATTCTCCGCTCCGGCAACCAATGCTTCATGTTGAAGCCCCTAGTCCACCTTTGCTCAGTGTTGAGGTTACTCGTGCTGCTCTACTTCCTCCATAGTCTGGCACCCCAGTCCCCCTGCCGTCCGTGCTGTTGACTCCCTGGCACAAGCCCAGGCTCAGGTGCTTATTTTTTTCTACATCTATGACCAAACCCCTCGACCCATAAAATCATTACTCATCTGTGTCTGTAGAGCCTATTTGAAATGCAATACCATTTGGACATGATATACATCGAAATTGTTTGTCATTTTTTATATATATAATAAAACACCTGAACCGTGCACCCCTCGTAAGTATGATTGAATTACGGCCACCCTGTGAACATATGGTGTATATTAAGATGTATTATGCATCTTGTTAAAAATAAATGCTATTGAGTGCAATAGGTATGACGGTAGTAACACAACTTCTCACTGTTCAAGTGAGCATGGGGTAGGGACGTGTGGAATAATTTTGATTCTGGAGTGTACTAGGCAGACGCAGGACCCGATGCAAAGTAGCCAATGGCCTCACCAGGTCGAGGGGCACAGTATATGGCTTGTCCTCCACCCCATCTGCCCCTCTTGTCTCTGTTTCTCTGCTATTTACCCACACCTCCGATTGGCACGTTAGGCTACATACAGTGCGAAATAATTTAAACATATATGCGAACATATTTTCTCATGAGAAATTTCAAAATTTTCTTGGTGTTCCCGGAGTCAGTGATGTGAATTACACATCGCAACGGTTTAGGTCAGTATCTGCATAGAGCAACTTGACTTGACATTTTATCATCTCAAGAGTTGAAGCCACCTTACGGATGTCAACGTCTTGCGAACACAACATATCAGCTTTTTTACCAAAATGTATACTCAACTCTTTTCTGTTAAGACGATATTTTGCGTGACGTTGGTGAAGAGCAAACTTGTGTAATTAAACAGCAGTATTCGAGAAGCAGCCTTGTCTTGTTTTGACTGTGATGATTCAGAGATGACGTCCACCAGTTGTTGCTTCTTTACCGGGGAGTTTTCTTGCCTCTGAATGACAAACACAAGACACAGTTCATTATCATAAGGAATTAATACAATAAATAAACAAGGAACAACCAAAGATCCATATACCCCAGCACATCTGGAAGCGTTTGGATCTATATATCCAGAAATGACTGTGATTCCTTCTTACAGAGTGCAGAAGCATTTGCATTGAAAGACAACGCACGATTGTTTAACCGCTACTCCACCATCCGCATGCACATATACACATATGCCCTGATTAGCAGCTAACACTGGTGCCAAGTCGCATATATTAGATGTGAAAGTGATGCCATGCCTAGGTACTCCAGTAGAAGGCGCCTGTGAGCTGCAGGGGATTCTTCCTCACAACAGATTTGTAACAATTTGCCTTCCCAGTGTTTCGATGACCTTTCACGATTTGTAGTTGCAGTTTGATAAAATAATTGATTCGTCTTTGTTTTAACAGTTCCCTGCAGGGTGGGCTGGTAGGAACATTGGAATTTTGCGCAATTTTATAAGACATTTCAAGTCTCTGCGCTGTCTATTGCTGATTTTACACCCAACAGCACGAGATTTCACTTCGTTAAACTATTGAAAGGGGACGGACGGACACATTAATCTATTGCAGGCTGGTACAGTTTACAACTTCGTTTCTACCAGTATTACCATCATATATATTGCATTTAGTGTTTAGAGCATTTATGTTTAGAGTATTTGGCTGCTATATATTTCCACATGATAAACCACCACGTTGAGTTATTATTTTAGGCCAGGTCGCTTCTGAAAAAGAGCTATATAGCTCAGTAAGCCTTACCTGGTAAAATATAAATTGTTTATAGTTTGAAAATAGTATTTACTAAACATCATTTTTGTTCAATACCGTTTAATCCACTTCGTTGCTCAAAATATGAAGCTGGTATACAACTAACATTAACCATGTATAATTGACTCTTACACAATATTTGGTACCTCGTAAGTGTAATAATTGATTAATCAATGCACAATTACACGCCTATCTGACAGTTTTCTATAGGCGCCAAACCTCAAAACACCTGGTTACAAGGACAGGTGTTTGTGTATCGCATGCTCGGAAAGTACTGCATTCACATTTATTGCGCACCACATGGCAGCAGCGGACTGCATCGTTCATGTAAACAAAGGTGTCATTGTCATTTATATTTAAAATAAACAAAGCGAATCGTTAAATGAGAATACCAAAATGAGGGAAATAAAAGCATTAAAAAAATGCAAGATGACACACATTACCAGTTATTCTGAATGTCTGTTTTCTCTATACCAGTCGAAACTAATTAAACTTTCGAAAATACCAAAGAAAGAAAGGAGAAATCGCACGCATAAGCGTGGATTATGTAACCCTTTTCAACATGCGTTTGTCCTCAAAAGTATTTAATTCATGACAATAACGGTAGCATATAATAATAGGCTCTGACCCTTTATCTGGCAACAACACTGATACCTTTTTACAAGGGATCATGCTTGCATTAACCACAACACTTGCGGTCAAAATGCAAACAAAAAGACAACACTGATAATGTATTGGCACCGTCCTTGAAATCGATTGGTCCACACCCGAGACAGCTTTTCTTAGACCCAGTCTCACATGGTGTTGAACCAGATGACGCCAAAAGGCGCACAACTCAAAGACAACGGACCATCAGAGTATTGAAAGCTCGGGGTAAGCTTTTACATTATGAGACCTCCTTTGCCAGTAGCAAGATATAATAATGGGTTTTGACCCTTTTATCTGGCAACAAAACTGATATTTTTTTGTTGCCAGATAAAAGGGTAAAAACCTCTTATTATATCTTGCTACTGGCAAAAGAGGTCTCAATGTAAAATAACGGTAGCGCTTGTGCCAGGCTCACAGTTAGCAGCAGTGCGTCTGTAGCAAGCGATGAGACCCACAGACCAGCACACCTGCGAGCACTGGATCGCGATTCAAAGATATGGGCAACCCTTTGATCAATTTGGCCAGTTTTCTATAACTTTTTACAAATGTTGTTCAGATTTGATCATCTTTTGTGGAATTATCGTGGCCCCGTGTAACAGACAGACGGATGGAAAGAGCTAATGCATAAAATGCGTTTCACTTTCGTTTTAAAATGCCAAAATTAACAAGCGGCACACTTAGGTACAAGTGCACACCAAGTAATGAGACCAGACCCTAATCCTAACCCTACTAGCCAACCAGACATTACTCTAACAGTGTTATAAATGGCATTGTATTTTTTTTATTAAAATGGGATAATAATAAGACCTCCATGCCTTTAGACCCGTTGAACGAGCAATGGAATTATAATTACAGTATTATGCAGTGGCTATCACTTATTACTGCTGAAAACCGTATACAGTAATATCTCGGTTAACGAATCCTCTGGGAAGGAAGCTCCTTATTACCGAAGTCGGCCATGGCGGCCCCCCCCCCCCCCCCCTTAGGCCCCAAGAAAATCAGATCTGTGATATACCTCCCCCACATTACCATAAATAAGAGAGGTTCTGTACTGCAACATCCTCAAAAGCACTTGTTCTTGACGATGTTGCTGATTTTGTGTGATGGTTTATGCTCATCAAGGAGCATTAACCATCACACAAACTCCGGTCCTCCTCGCAGTGGCTTTTGGCCAACGAATGACTAAAGACGTTCACTGCATCACGTACTATCGCATAATCGTGCCGCAGTTTGCCATGGTGGCTAAGCCTCTGCATGCTCTGACTGCCAAGAACCAGAAGTTCAAGTGGGGGGTGAGCGCCTATCCAATTCGACTTTTCGGATTTCTCCCTGCCGTTTGTTCTCGACACGGACACTAGTGACACGGGTATTGGAGCCGTCCTGTCCCAGGTTAAGAACGGCGTAGAGAGGGTAGTCACGTATGGCAGCCGTGTCTTGTCCACTGTGGAACAGGGCTACTGTGTTACTCGCAGGGAACTGTTGGCCATGGTGTACTTTGTACAGCAGTATAGGCCTTATCTCTACGGCAGATAATTTATTGTCCGCACGGATCACGCGGCCATTCAATACTCCCTGCGAGTGGACCAATCTTCCGTCCAGCTCTCACACTGGCTGGAAATTCTCCAGAAGTACTCATTCCGAGTGATATACCGTAAAGGGGTGCATAATTGTAACCCGGATGCGTTATCCCGCCTGTCCCAAGGGGTGAGCTATGCGTGTTCATCCGGCTCGTGTCATTGTAAACCTCCGGCGGCGGGCTTGCGGCCGTCATAGCGGCGCTTGATGAAGGGGAGCCCACTGAGGTGGTCGCGCTGGGTGACAGCGTTTTGCACCTTATGTGTGCCGAGTGGGGGTAGTTGCAGGTGGAGGATGTGTCCCTTATGGCTTTGCGGCGTAGCGCTGAATCGGGGCACAAAGAGTCTGCTCCCTCTGACGCCCTGCGACCGGTCCTTCGGGACGGCCTTTTGATGTTGGGGGATGAAGGGCTGCACCGTCATCGCATTGTGGTTCCCACCACCCTTTGGGGCGAATTGACTCAGATGGTGCACGAGGACAAATTGTTACATCTCGCGTGCGGAAGACGTTGTTAACGTTGCAGCGCGACTTTTACTGGCCAGGAATGTCGAGCGACATGCGCCACTTGATTAAGGGTTGTACGGACTGCGCGCGCAGAAAACCGCCGCCGAGGAAGTCCCAGCCTCCGCTGCAGTCCATCTCCGTACCACGGATTAACGAGTTGGTCACGCTCGACATTCTAGGACCCTTTCTAGCCACGCAGAGGTGGAATACGTTTCTCCTGGTTGGTGTTAAATATTTTTCGCGGTGGCCAATGGCCTGGCCGTTGCCCGACCAGTCAGCAGCTTCTATTGGCGAGGCGTTTTTGCATGGATATGTAATGGATAAAGGGCCCCCCCCCCCCCTGAGCAGCTTCTCACGGATAAGGGGCGGAATTTTTCATCGAACGCACTGGGCACTAGGATTAGAATGTCGCCGTACCATCCCCAGATGGACGGGAAGGTGGAACGCCTGCATAGAACCCTGACATCCATGCTCTGTCAGGCAGTTAGTGCGGCTCAAACTGATTGGGACCTGCATGTTCAGGGTGTCCTGGCAGCATACAAGATGGCTCCCCACGCTTCCACGGGATTTTTGCCGTTTTTTTCATGTATGGAAGAGAAAATTAACCTTCCATGGAGGTTCAATTGGGTCTGTCAGAGAACAAGGGTTAAACGATCTTGACTACGCCCCTGCATATTACGCTAAAGCGCGTTTCGGCAGCACACGAAGCGGCCAAGGCAAACACCGCCAAAGCGCAGGTGGCGAAAGGAAAGGAATGCAGGGCGACATGACCATGTGCTACATTGGGCCATAGGGGACCGGGCGTGGTTGCACTGCCCGCCGGTGCCGTTGGGAACGTCCCCTAAATTGCATCGGCCGTGGCAAGGTCCCGTGGAAGTGGTGGAGGCCAAACGGCCGCAGTGCGTGCGTATACGGGTAGGCCGTCGCCATTGGTTTGTCCATCGGTCGCGGTTGAAGTCTTATGTTCCTCCCCCCAAATGGACACTTCATCTCCAAGCATTGTACAGCCGGTGTCTGATGTATCCGACGAGCCGGGGGACGCAGCCACGGAAAGCGTGCATCAGAAGGATTGTGTTGTGCTGCCCACAGTTTTCAAGCCCCTGAAGGTTGGTGGGTCACGAGGTCTCGCCGAATGCAAGGGGCCGCCGGCTGCGACCGGGCCCACGTCACCTGCAGAGCCGTGGATGAAACCAACTTCTCTGGGTCTTCTGTTCGAGCCCACATCTCCTGTGAGGAATGCAAAGATTGCCTCTATGGATGGACCGGCGTCGATGACCCGGTCCAAATGTTTTAGATTCCAGTGATAGGAATGTCCTGTGTGTATGAGGGGGGTTTTGGGGTCGTGCTTGTGCGTTATGTGGGAGGGGACATTTTTTTTCTCTCCCTCTCTCTCTTTTCACCTCATCCCTCTACCTTCGAGTTGTTGCTTGGGTCTTCCTTTTTCATTGCGGATTGTTCCACCTTAACAAAAACA